AATAATTATTGTTTAATAACAATAAAGTGCAAATTAGGAAAATAACATTATTATATTATTAAGTGTTACATTTAGTTTTATAGTTTTTCTTTTAATTAGTTTCTGAGAATTACCGAATTTTATTTTGTTTTTATAACAGGTAAATAATAATAATAATAGTAATCAAGTGTAAATAAGGTAAATAACAAAATATTATAAGTATAATAACGTAACAGTACGTATAAAATAATCGTGAAAAACATTTTTAATTTATTATTTGCTTAACCTTGGAATTTAATTTTTTGTTTTTTATATTAGGAAAATAATAACAATCATGTTCGAATAACAAAAAACGATATTTTTATACTAGTGCATAACATATAACCTGTCATTTAGATCTAAAATATATATTTATTAAGACCTTAATCGAATCCGGGAAAAACTCAATAGATTACAAAGGCGATCTGATTTATTTTGTTTTTAATTAATTTGAGCGCCTGGCATCGGCAGAGAAAAGAGTTTACCTAAAGCCATAATTATTAAATTGAGAAATTACATTAAATAATATTAACCCGGTAGGGAATGAGTTCGAGAGTTGACTTTTATTAAACAAACAATAGTTAAAATTTCACACAATAAAGTTTATTAAATCAAAAAAGATTTTATACATTGTTGTTTTTGATCGAGAATCGCTCAAGAATCCAAGAGTTTATTTTTTTTATATATTGAATAAAAGAATCAATGACAATATTGACTCACCGCCATTTTAATAAATTAGATATTTGTTATCCTTTTACTATTTTACTTAACAGTTTGGATAGCTTTATGTTCCTCTTTATATATTTTAATTTCTATTATATTTTGATCAACTTCCGCCAACCACGGCGTCTAAAACGTGAAGATCGAGCAATTCCTAATTGCTCGGTCTTCTTCCTGACTCGACGCTGGCATGCGTAATAGCGACCCCGCCGATTAGTGTGAAATCGAGAATATATCAAATATCGGATCGGGTTGCGACCTAGCAGGCGCAGTTTACAATAGAACGCGGTTAATTTTGGAACGACTTATAAGATAAGCCTATTAGAGCAGTGTAAGATAAAATAAATAAATAGATAAAATTATATTATATAATTTTATAATTGATCCAGAGATTATGGATCCGGCTGCATCTTAATCCTCAAACCGCTTCTAAAACTCTACTCGCTCCTTCTGAGAGTTTATTGATTTGTCTATCTGCGCCAATGGGGCTGCATCAGTCAGGCTGAAAATAAATTAATCTCGGCAATAAAAGTTCATTGTCAAATATAAGAGTTACTCTTGGATCCTTGAGGTGTTCGTCTTTAATAATTGCTAATTTGAATTTAGGATGAGGTCTAGATACTATTGAGTTGTAACTAGACGTACAACGAAAGTGCCCGAGTGTAAAGTGTCATGGACGCCTTTCCAAAAATGTGACGCGTCTATAGTTAATCAGAACTTAAAGAATTAATTCAAAAAACTCACATCTTCATTCCTGTATAAAAATTTTAAAATCTATGTTTATAAAACATTTTCATATCATGAATTGTTTGTATCCTATAAATTCAGCTTTAATTACAAATATAAAAATGTATAAATTATATACAAAAATAAATTGGTCTCTTTATGTTTTATATATATATATATATATATATATATATATATATATAAAGTATGATTTATATCAATAAGATGTTGTTTGATGTTTCAAAACTTGTGTAAAATTTCAATAATATGGTGTTGACAGGTTTAATAAAAGTTTAGGTTATGTTAGCTAATTTTTATACCGCGCAGTGGCTGGATTTAAGCCCAGGTTCGGGTTTGTGGCTACTTTCTATTTCGAAAGGCAGCTTATTGTTAGCCCCTACAGTAGGCTTAAAGTGAGACTTATTCTATGAGCGAGTTAGAAACTATATCAGTCTAGTTTGTGCCCCATATTGAAACTGGCTTCTTTTCGGGTTTAAACAAAACTTATTTTTTCCTGTGCAATTGCAACGTTACAAACACTACATTTTCTTTAATCATGAAAAATACGTATATATTTTATTATTTGTTGAACATTACCGTATTTAATTTTTTATCCTTAGGGTTCCGTTCATGCAGTGAACAGAAACGAAACCCTTATGGTTTCACTCATGTCCGTCCACAAAATCCTGTCCCCCCTAAAATCTATCCATTTTAACCGATTGTAGGTCAAATTTTAGCTGGAAAATTTAAAAAATTAGATAAATTTTGTTTTGAAAATTGAAAATAATCAAAATTATTGTTAATAAAAATTGTAAATAACATTTAAAGAAATAAATAATAAAATAATAATAATAGTTTTAAATTCCAGAAATTGGCCAAACATTAACTCAAACATCTACAAAAACAATAAAAAACAGGGGGTTGGCGTGCGAAGCGCGCAGGAGGGCAAAGCCCCCCTAGTATTTATATATATATATTTATATATTTACTAAGGAAGCTGTGCCCTCCTGCGCGCCTCGCGCGCCAACCCCTTTAATTTTCCACTTTAAGGATTAATTTTTGAAAGGGATGCAAATATTAAAATTATTAAAATTTTACCTAAATTTTGAGGTTTTGTTCATTTCATGGTTAAGGGAATTTAAGGTTATGTTTTTTTATGAAAAATGTTTGTTTAATTATATTATATCTATATTATAAAAAGATTTTTCCGCTGTTTCCAGTATGAATTATTCCATATCAACTGTACCCAACCTATGTTTTGACAAGGTTAGGTTAGTTTGGGTAATTTTTAAGGTTAGGTTCGTTTTTTGGGCAGGGGTATTTGAGAATATGTCTGTAGGACATAACCTCGAAACCTATGTTTTTAGCTTGGTTAAGTTAGGTAATTTTTGAGGTTATGTTCGTCTCTTGGTTAGGGATATTTGATGTTATGTCTGTCGGACATAGCTTCGAACCCAGCGGCCTACCCAGGTTAGTTTAGGTTGATTAGATAAGGTTAGGTAAGTTAAGGTAATTTTTGAGGTTATGTCCGTTTCTTGGTTAGAGGCATTTGAGGTTATGTCTGTCGAACATAGCCTCAAAACTCAGCGCCCTACCCAGATTAGTTCGGGTTGATTAGGTAAGTAATGTAATTTTTGAGGTTATGTTTGTTTTTTTGTTAGCGATATTTAAAGTTATGTATGTCGGACATAGCCTCGAACCCAGCAGTAATCCTGGGGAGTTGCGGCTATATTCACGGTTAAAATTCATTTAAATTTTAAAGTTATTTTTGTTTGTTTGTGGGTGGGAGGTATTTCGCTACAAAATTTGAGCCAAGCTTGAGGTTATGTTTGTTTCTTTGATTACCTTAATTTACCTTATCTTACCTTATCTAATCAACATAAACTAACCTGGGTAGGCCGCTGGGTTCGAGGCTATGTCTGACAGACATAACCTCAAATATCCTAACCAAGAAACGAACATAACCTAACAAATTATTTAAACTAACCTAACCTTGTCAAAAACATAGGTTGGGTACTGTTGATTTGGAATGACCCATACTGGAGCCAGCGTCGAAATCTTTTTATAATATAGTGTGACAAGCAAATTGAAGGAAAATTTTAGCAAATCGTATTTAAATTTATTTATATATGTGATGCGTCGCCAAGAAAGGGACCTAAGCGTCCAGGAGTTTCAGGTTATGTTTGCCATATTTGAAAAGAAAATCTACAAAGTGGACAAATTTTCAATATGAACCATTAATGCTTATCTCTTCATTATATCGAAAATATTTATTAAAAACTGCTTTTACTGTTACACAATTAAAAAAAAAAGATTTAATCAATATGAAACTGACACAAACTTAACCAAACAATTCTTGGACGCTTAGGTCCCTTTCTTGGCGACGCGTCACATATTATTTTATTAGAAAAACTTAAATTTCTTGATAAAAGAGTGTTTGTCCTTGTAGGTATTTATCCTACGGTTTGTTTATTAAATAAATAAAGGAAGGAGAAAGAAATCAAGGTAAGGTTACACTAAAAACAAACGATATTTATGAAAAGTTTAATAAATTTATAAAGTGCTGAACACGGGAGAGAGTTTCAGTAAATGTCGCGAGTAGCTTGTAGTCAGCAGAGTACTGACTCCGCCAGAAGGGCTTGTACATTTCGTACCCAAAAAGGGCAATGTTGCCGTGGTCGTTTATATAATTACTGAAAATGCATTTTCCGTAGAATCGGCAACACTAGTCGATGAATATTTCGAAATTATTTTATTTTATTATTTCAACTACAAAATGCTCAAATTCTAATGTTTGCGACAACCCGAATGTACCGACTTTTATTGCGGTCGCCTGGCGGCCTACCTGAGTGTAGTAGATACCAAAGGTACATGATTTTCTTCAAACTACTCATTTTTGAAATTATATTTGACAGTGAATATTATATTTGTTAAAATATTTAAAAGATGAATTGTTTAATAACAAATTAAATAACATTTTTTACTTAGTGTGTATATGTTAGCCGCTAGTCCTCTTAATCTTTATAGTTTTGGAGCTAATGAGTTTGAACTGGATACAATTATATAATTTCGCTAGTAGAGTTATAGAAAAATATAGCAAATGCTCTAAAATTAGTTTAAACATGAGGTTCTTCAAAAAACTCAAAATGCGTTGAAATATCGTGTTTCTTCATTAAACTTACACATTTAAAAATTGTAATTAGATTATGTACCAAAAAAATTTAAATAATAATAAAAAAATATATTTTTTTTAAATATACGTAGGTAATAATTTAAATAATAGTGAACGGAACCCTAGGTAAGCGAGTGTAACTCGCACTTGACCAATTTTTTTGTTGAGTTGTGTTACAAAATATATATTGCATTAGAGAACAGAATGTCCTCTGCTGTAGTTCTAGGTATAAGCGATCTTCTGTAGTTTTTATGTTAATTTTTTTTAATCACCATACTTTTTAATTTCTAACTTTTTTTCATTAATTACTATCTAACAATTAAATTTGTCGAAAGTCGGTTAAATTTTTTTTTTCATTTTGTAGTGCCAATTCAACCCCAAGTTGTAAGTGAAATGGAGCAACCTACTGGAAGTTTAGAACATTTGGTACATCCTTTTAGACTCACTGAGTCTGCAAATGGTTCAAACGGATTTATGGTCGTGGGTGATTCAGGTGAAACAGAAAGCTTAAGTCATCATTTAAAGGTGAGAAATATTTTTTTTCTTAATAGATAACAGGTCTACAAGGTATTTTTTTGAGATTTAAGAATGGTTTTCAATATATTTTTGTGTCCTGAACACGATACCGCACAGGTGTTTGGAAAAAAAATAAAGTTTGTCTACGATACTCAGAAAAATTATTGTTACCTGGTGGTTCCTTAGCACCCCCTAAAGCGAGAAAACTTATCCCTAAAATCGCAGCTGTTCATATAGGGAAGATTTTGGGATTTTTTTCAAAAAAATTAGTTTGTAAGTATCAGAAAAAAGTTTAAAATTAGTTTAACGATTTTTATTTGTGTATGTGTTTGTAGGACCTCATTTTCTAGATACAAGCGATTACAAAATTTTTTAATAAAAAAACTTGAATTTTTTAACTTCACTTTTATATAGTTAGATGAAATTTATTAACATGTATTTATATATTGTAACGCACCATTTTGTTGCGTAGAAATAACGTAAAATAATAAATTATTAGAAATTTAGTAAATAAACGACATCCTTGTGGTAATCCATTAATGGCTGTAATATGTTAAATTCATATCAATCGGTTCTTCAGAGCGCGTTACAAATACAATTTACCAAACATGAACCTCGAAAGGCAACCAAAACATCATAAATGTAAATAAAGTAAAGAAATGACATTTAACCCCACGGTGTGTTTTTGGCTTGGACAACAGCTACACAAAATTTGACAAAAAATATTTAGAAAATAGTTTCAAATTCATTTTCAGCTACCCCAGATTAGCTAAATACTTAATTTATTGAGAATGTATCCACAAAAGTTGAAACTTTCTGGTCCCAAGACCGTTCTACAGTCCAAATTTTCACCTTGCAACTATTTCCGTTTGACAGATACAGAATTTTAATGTTTTTAACAGTTTGACATTTAGCCCCGGTCTTCCCTACTAACTTCATTTTTTTGAATAATTAAATTTTAGTATTAAAAAACCAACTTGCCAAAGTCGTCAGATTAATTGTCAATCTGTAATAAATAAATATCGGTTCTAAATTGTCCTTTTGTTTTTTATGAAAAACTCTTGCGAGGCATTGAGGATTCTCGCCGGATTACAAAAACGTTAAGGACATCACTATCACTTACTGAAATTGAAATTCATTAAGGGAAGAGCTTCTTAATGTATATATTTGGATGTGAGTCCCGAATATTCAAGAACACCAGGAAAACGAAAATGCTATTTTGTTGACGATCTGTCAAAATACTACTGGCAGCCATTTTTGTATGGACTTCTCACATTGGTGTACAAGTTGTTGACATTTTGAGTATTAACATTTTAAAGAAAAAGTTCATTAATTTTTCGGACACTATTTGCATTTTTATTTAAAAAACTACACTACCGTCCGAAATTGTGCGAACTCTGCTTTTTCAACAACTATAAAACTGTTCAAATCTTCAAAAATATAAAAACTAAAATTTTTTCCTCTTTATTTTATTAAAGCTAATAAAATTCTGAAAGAAATGACGCCTTGACAAAGAGAATATGTTAATTTTTCAATTAGATATCTAAGAAAAACCCAATTTTCAATGTTTTTACTATTTTTTTTATTTCTCTGGCAAAAATTAATATTTTTAAACGTTCTTAGGCTCATTGAAATCGTATTTTGTTACGCAATTCAAATTATATAAAACGATTCATGTACACATTCTTCCCTAGCGTATGCAAACCGTGAAAGTTGGCTCATAAAATGTCAAAAAATTTAAATTTAATTCTACAATAAAATATAATGTTTAAAAATCAAGTAAATATATCATTCTAAACTTCTCTGATTTATGTAAGTAAATTTAAGATTTATACATTTTACTGATCATTTTTTGTCATATAAATATTAATCACAATTTTTTGACATTTTATGAGCCAACTTTCAGGGTTTGCATACGCTAGCGAAGAATGTGTACATAAATTGTTTTATATAATTTGAATTGCATAACAAAATACGATTTTAAGGAGGTTCATCCCTTCAAGCGGTACTCATTCTATTAGGGGTTTTCCGTAAGTTTAAAACCGACAGCTATAGTCCATAAAAGTTGAGCTCCACTGGCCAATTTAGAGGTTAATTTGCCGTTTCTCCTCTTCTTTCTTTTATTTACATGGGATAAGTTCAAAAGTTGCTAACTTTGATTAACATTTACTTCACAACCAAACGGTAAAAAAATTTCATATTTTTGTAAAAACTGTTAAAACTCATAATTTAAAACATATTAGTTTTTGAAAAAAATCTGTAGAACCGTTTTTTTTAATTAATGAAAACATGGTCATTTTTCATGTTTTTTCACTGTTCCCATGTAAAACTTCAAACTTTATCAATTTTTATCTTGAAAATGATACGGTAAAATTCAATAAAATTTGAACAACACATGTAAAGTGATGTCAATAATACATCTTAAAAATTTTTAAAAAATCTGTAGAAAATCGATTTTGGGATGAACCTCCTTAATGAGCCTAAGAACGTTTAAAAATATTAATTTTTGCCAGAGAAATAAAAAAAATAGTAAAAACATTGAAAATTGGGTTATTCTTAGATATCTAATTGAAAAATTAACATATTCTCTTTGTCAAGGTGTCATTTCTTTCAGAATTTTATTAGCTTTAATAAAATAAAGAGGAAAAAAATTTAGTTTTTATATTTTTGAAGATTTGAACAGTTTTATAGTTGTTGAAAAAGCAGAGTTCGCACAATTTCGGACGGTAGTGTACTACTACTACTAAAAATAAGAAGGGGTGGACATTTATATTACATAAATGTGATGTTCATTTCACGAACATTATGCTTCCTCGCAGAAAATATTTAATTTAATTTACATTAAAAATTTTATAAATTTAGGTTAAATCACGGAGGAATAGTAAGGAGACCGATCTCTGCGTTTGAAAATGTCAGAAAAACATGTACGATAAGTGCCAGGTTCAGTACATTGTAATCAACTACCAAAGTAGCTGAGCATGCGCATTGGACCTCAATTTTGACAGATGAAAAGTGTGGTTATGCGATATACATATATGTCACAAAAAAAATCTTAAGGTGCTTATATACCTCAAATTTCGATCAGATGAACATTATTTCTGGACCGTGAAAATGCGTGAAAAGTCATTTTCACGGCGGGTATTTTTGAATTGTTTTAAACAAAAAATGTTTTTTTAAGAAATATAATATTAAATAATTGTTTTAATATGTAAGAACACTTTAAAATAATGATAGAGAGATGATTTGATTAAAAAATTTAGCAAATTTTGCTTTAAAACGTTTTCTGCTACAAGAAAGTGTAAAATGACGATGTTTGTGAAATGGTTTGTACAGTGCTTCTTCCTTGTGAGTGTCTCTCAGAGTTTTGTTTATGTTATGTCGTTTCTTTTTAACTTGTAATAAATAATGAGTGCTGAAAATAAATCGGTAAGTTGAAATGTTTATCAAATAAATTTAAATTCTACTAATTGTTTCGAATAACTGAAAGAAACATGTACACATGTACACTGTACAAACCATTTCACAAACATCGTCATTTTACACTTTCTTGTAGCAGAAAACGTTTTAAAGCAAAATTTGCTAAATTTTTTAATCAAATCATCTCTCTATCACTATTTTAAAATGTTCTTACATATTAAAACAATTATTTAATATTATATTTCTTAAAAAAACATTTTTTGTATAAAACAATTCAAAAATACCCGCCGTGAAAATGACTTTTCACGCATTTTCACGGTCCAGAAATAATGTTCATCTGATCGAAATTTGAGGTATATAAGCACCTTTAGTGTTCAGTGTTTATTTCAGAAATTTTATTTACCATTGCGATATTGTATCTCCAAAATCATGTGTAAGTATATAATAATGTATGCTATTGGAATATTTAAAGTGTCAATAAATTGAAGTAATTATTAAAAGAATAATAGAGACATAGTAATTATAAACATATTATTTATGATGTATGTCATGAAAAAGATTTTTCTTACCAAGAAATTATTAGTTTTCAATTTAATTGTCAAATATTAACACAATAACACATAACCCCTTCATCACAACACGCATGGAAGACTTGAGAAATATACGTCAGCCAGATCTCACTCGCACACTTTTTGCGAGAGAAAGAGACAGCACATGGCTAATGCGCATGCTCAGCTACTTTGGTGGTTGAGTAAAATGCAGTGAAACTGGCATTTATCGTACATGTTTCTCTGACATTTTCAGAAGCGCTACTACAGCAAGATCGGTCTCCTTACTATTCCTCCGTGGGTTAAATATATAGATCAATCAATTAGTTTCTATGTAAGGAATGCAATTTTGCCTAAAATTTGGCGTAAAATTTTTTTTAAGAAAAAAGAAAAAAAAATTTACAAAAACAAAAAATTTAAATTTTTTGAAAAAATAAAAATAATGATTATATCTATTAATTTAGGTAAAATATAAACTTAATATAGGTTAAAAAGTTCGATTTAACGCTAAGAATGCGTTTTTAAAATAAATAAAGTGAAATTTTTATAATAAAAAGCTTTTTTATCAAAAAATGTATTTTTGACTATTTGAAAAAATGGTCCCAAAAAAATTATGTGGATATTTGTGGAACTCCTTGTGTCCGATTTTTGGTATTAGTAAGGAGAATTAACATGCAAAATTTCTGGGCGATCCGTTAACATTTGTTTGAGATAATTTGTACACAAGAAGCGGTGCCATACTCACATATATATCCGGAAATTTGTTCCTCATGTCGAAATATAACTATATTAGTTAAAAATTTATTAAAACAATTGATTTTAGAAAGTTCGAAAATTGTCATCACTATAAAGCTTCCTACGAGGAAGCAAAACTACTCATTCTACTCTTATTCTTATCCTGCATAGTTGTGTTCTACAGTTCTCGTCTTTTTTAGTGAAATAAAATTAAAATGTAATTATATAGGTGGGACGAGGCGACACCGTCGTCGTCAAATGGACAGTGAGTCTTCAATTATTATTTATGAGTCACATTCCTTTCAAATTGACCACAATATAGAGTTCTACAGTATGTTCTTAGCGCCAACTGGTCGTAAAAATTTGTATTAAATAGAATTTGTCCTGATCAAAAATGTCATTTTCAAATTAAAAAAAAGAATCAAAATGAAAGTGTTGCGTAGTAAGTTGTTCTAATAGTGAACGCAATAATCCGGAACTACAATTTTATTCCTTTTCGAAAAAGTTCTGGTTCAAAGAAAAAAGAGAAAAATGGATAGCAGCTGTTCGCAGAATTTAATTAATTAATGATTTAATTTAATTAATAATTATTATTATATAATTAATAAATTATTAATAGTTTCATCAATAAGTTCAGTAACGTGATTACTTTTTAGCAATCCGTCACCTCTGGCAAGGCTTTCTTTTCTAAATATAAAAATATCCACTTTTTGAAATCCGCTTTTAATTATAATAGACATTTTTTTACGGATATTAACAATAGTTTAAAAAATTCTTATTTATAAATTAACATTTGTCACGACATGTGTACAATTGTCAAATTAAGCTACTCATTATTTTGAAAAAACATCTGCTAGAGGCGCTTCGAGCCTCACATGCATTTATTAGTAAAGTATTAGATTGTAGACATATATGTTTCTGTAGAAATTCCAGATCCATTAGAGAATCCTGTACTTCAAGATATTGTTATGAGAAACATGATTCGCGGTCCATGTGGGAGCTGGTGTAAAGATGAAAGTGGTAAATGTTTCAAAAGTTTTCCAAAGAAATTCTACTCAGAAACAATAATGGATGAAAATGGATATCCGACGTATCGTCTTTGCAATAGCGGAACATGTAATCGACTAAATGGAGGAACAGCAGATAATCAGTACGTGATTCAATACAATCCTACATTATTACTACTATTTAATTGCCATATTAATGTAGAAGTTGTTTCTAGCATTAAATCAGTAAAATATCTGTATAAATATATTTATAAGGGACATGATGCTGATGATATTGTAATAACCGACAGTGTGAATAGTGCAACTTCTGTAGAATGTGATGAAATTCGAAAATGCATTGAAACTCGATATGTAAGTCCCGTTGAAGCGTGTGATAGAATTTTTGGAAGACTAATACAGAATAAAAGTCATTCTGTTACCAGATTACCTCTTCATTTATCTCATAAACATACCGTTATTATTAGCGAAGAAGCTAATGACGATGCTTCAAGATCTGCTTTGCAGAAAAGGACAATGTTATTAGAATACTTTGCTTTAAAAGAACGTGATAATCTTTAGTAATAATCTTTAATCTCTATTCTACTGACAACCTCATTCAAAATTCAACACCCTGGTGATGCAGAAGCGAGGCAATTTACATATGCAGAAATTCCAAGTCATTATGTTTTCAAGAAGGAACGTGGTGAAAGTACATTCAAATGGTTAAGACGAGAAAGATTTTTTAATGTCATTGGACGCATTTATTCTATTAGTCCAAGTCAAGTTGAACTGTTTCATCTCCGTCTACTGTTAATAGTAGTTAAAGGTGCTACAAGTTTTGAACATTTGCATACAGTTGATAACAGAGCACATGAAACTTTTCAAAGTGCATGTTTCGCGTTAGGTCTTATCGAAGATGATGGAGAATGGGATCGAGTTGACCGTTTCGAAGTGTGAACTCTACCCGGGCTAGTTCGACTTACCGCGAGTTCACACATTACACTAAGCGAAACATTTATTTTATTCTCAGGACGTGAGTTACACACACAGGTGAGAGAGAACGACACACTACACTGAATTTAATAAATAAGACACTATAAACAAAATAATTTTTATAAAAATTATTTCTCATTTATTAAATAATTTTCAATAATTCGAACTTCGAGAAATTCACGCTACTAGGCGGTGAGATCAGCCGGCGAGAACAGGTTGGCGTCCATTTTCCGTGCCATGCGATCGGCCAATACTTCCTTGTTTTCTTTCGATATTTACGTATGAAAAGGAACCACAAATATGCCCATTGAAAGGAAGAACTGCTCACAAACCTTCTATTTTATTCAAGATCCTTCTATAATCTATAATTCAGGTTGCACCGGTGTAAACAATAGGAAAAATCGGAAAATACTTTTCCTTGTATGTAAACTGATGAGTAGCCAAACTCGAACTGATTTGCAACAGTAGGGTCGCCTGACCCAGTGACCTGCGCAATGCGTGTGGCCCCTGATCTTCCTCATGAAATCTTCTTTCTCACCCGACTGATAAAGTTTTATAAAATAATCAAAATAATAATCTGACAAAATGTGGATTTCACTATTCATTGAGAAATGTAATATCGCTCTTTTTCAATAATAATTTGTACATTATTTACTTTTACAAATTATTATAAACGAAATACATAAAGTAAGATTTACAAATAAAAAAAATACAATAATTATCTTTTATACAATAATAACCAATAAAGAAAAATATAAAGGTTGATTTCGGGTTTGGCTATTATTTTTCTTACTTTTTATGAAAAACGCGATATTTAATTAACATTAAAAATTCCATTAATAATTTAGTTTTCGGCGAAACCTCTGAAAACTGTTTTTAAACGGGGTAATTAAATTACCACGTTACAACTCCCATGGGCCTTGCCGAAACCTATCTCCTGAATTTTTCAGAAATGTCCAGATTCTTCCCTTTCAGTAGGCATTTTTCAATTACTATATTTAAATATTGAATCAATTACTTTCTATTTTGATTAACTACTGTTCTGACAGGTAAGCTGATATGAAAAATCTCTTTTATTTATGATTTTACTCTTTAATCGGCAGTGTTCTGTCTACTATCGGTTTAGTATTTTATTTCAATTTCTTTTTAAGTAATATAAATTATTAAACTTACCGATCCGCGGAGTTCTTGGACGCCATTGACAGGGAGTGAACTGGGAATTAGGAATAATTCGAGATTTTTATATTACAATAGAAAATAAGTAATATATATTTATCAAAAGTTATCAAAGAAAAATATATATGAAACATATCCCTTATTCGAATACGGTATAGTCACTGCCTATGTACTTTTTGACTATATTAAGGTACACGGTTTAAACCTGAGAGTTTTTTAAGGGAATAGAACTATTTTAAATAATATCAAACAATTTAAAATTCTAGTTATATTGAAAACTTTACCTAGTTCCACTGTAATTCTCTCATAACTAAGAGTCTTTGGTTTTAAAATATCATACTAAATGTAAAACTAAAAAATACTAAACATTTAACCAAATAACTGATAAACAAAAAAAATAATTTCTAAATCAGAATAGAGAGAAAAAGAAACTTTTATGAGCTCTAGGGAGAAACAAAAATGAAAATTGAAAATGATAAAAAATATACATGAACCTTATTGGTCCCGATGTGGACAATCATTTTTGAGATGGCCTTTATTGCGGCATCTGATGCACCACAATAAGCTGGCT